TTTACAGAGCAAATTCATTTTCCATATAGCAGTTCATACACATTTTGTTTCATGATATTGACTGCAATTCCCCACAATGTAACAGCTCTCTTCCCACTTCCTCCCTATATCATTTTACTCTTTTGGAGAAGTCTTTTGCTGTGCATAAGAATTTCATTTTTAGAAGGTCCAATCATCTGCTGTTTGTGTGTTTTTGGTTATGCTTGACAGCTATTTATGCCTTAAGTTAGGGTCGGTAACTTTGCCTCCATGTTTCCTTTGATGATCTTTATAACTCCAGGTTTTACCTTCAGGTCTTTGGTCCATCTTGTGTTAGTTTTTGAATATGGTGTGAAGTATGAATCTTGTTTTGTTTTTCCACAAATAGATACCCAATTTTGCCAGCACCATTTGTTAAAGAGATTGTCTTTCCCCAATTTAATGGATTCCAGCTCTTTGTTAAATATCAGTTGACCACAGGTCAACTTCTGGGTTCTCACACAATCTTAGTCTTGACCTAATGATTATTTGAAGTATCATTCACTACAATTTGACAATTATGTATTGAGAATGTTACAGTCTTATATGACAAGGTGAGAGTGAATTGTATTTCTACACATTTATCCAAATATATAGAATTTTCATCAAATGAAACATATTTTTTTAATTAAGTTGAAGAGAGCCAGAAGCTATAGATAAATTTGTTTCTAAAGCTCTGGGTTCCTTCATTGAGAGAAACACATCACAAAAATACCTTACAACAAAAGTCATTCTTCAGCTACCTCATTCCTATTTACTAACAAAAATATTTTCACCCCCCAAATTTTACAGGTTCCAACAGGATATAGACAGAGAGAGAGGGGAGAAAAAAAATCTAACCATTATTATTTTAAGGCAGAAATATTTCTTCCGGGAGATTATCAAGTGCATATTAAAACATTCTGAATATAATTATAGTCACATCTAAAGAAATTTTTTAATGTATTTTTTCTGGTGTGCATGAACCAAAGTTCTGAAAGTAATGCAACTTGTATGGCACTTCTTCAGGAGGCATTAGGCCACATCTAACTCCCAGAGGCATGAAGAACAATATAAACACAATACTAGTCAATCTACATAGAACTTAACATCCCAAAACAAATGCTGTGCACAGCTTGAAACCTACATAAACGTTCAACTTGTCACTTCTCTTTACAAATTACAACTGAGTTTTATATTATGTTCTGATGCTCTAGAAGACAGTAGCAAACCAAAAAAAAATAAACAAATTCACAGCCGTAGAGTCGGATCCGACTCATAGCGACCCCTCTTTGGGTTTCCGAGGAGGTATCTCTACAGAAGTAGATTGCCCAATCTTCCTTCCAAAGATAGTAGATCAGGGTCATATTCGACAACAGCTGGAGAATGTCCCAGGCTACACTTAAACACCATAAAATCTGGAGTTTTCAACCAAGGCACCCTCTTCATATTGATCAAGACCAACGAGATAAAGAAAATATATGTACCTTGTCAAACTTGAATATTTTGTTACTTTTCCTTGAAATGATTCTGCATGAAGCTGTGGTTTCAAAAATATTACAAACATTCATATTTGTAATTGGATGAATTGGACCTAATTCCTCTTCTGATATTGTCTCCTGACATTCTCTTGTTGAATACCGAAAAATAAAGGCATCAGTAACCTCATGTACTAGTAAGATAATGTGATTTGGAATCATAACAAAAAATATAATTTTTAAAACAAACAATTTATTTTACTGAATACATTTTAAATTATAAACTGCCACCATGTTCCAAGACATCTTAGTTCCAAAACATTTTCACATATTTCAACTAGTTTTAGGAGCTTTCTTAATGTTTGTCATTGAACTAGTCCCTTATACTTCTATACCTATACATCAGATTACCCTGTTGTTGCTATTGTACTCATAGCTACACTATAGAACTCACAGCCACACTATAGGACAGAGTAGAACTGCCCCGAAGGATTTCCAAGGCTGTAATCTTTATGGGAGCAGCTTAGCAAGTTTTTTCACCAGCATAGTGGCTGGTGTGTTCAAACTGCTGACTTGGGGTTAGGAGCCAAGTGCTCAACCACTGCACCACCAGGGTTACTTCCAGATTATCCTAGTCCTTCTATAGTCATAAAACTAAATATAAATAAATATTATGTCTATAACCAGTTTACAGGTTAGATCCTTACCCCTAAATACAACAAGATTCCATAGAAAATAAATTTCCAAAGAAAGCATCGCCGAAGGGCATTAATGAGTTTAGGATTTGTCTTTGAAGCCAGCTCTCTGTCCCATTCTCTGCAAAAGAATACAAAGTAAGAGCAATAAGTTGCTTGTGAAAATATTTGAGTTGTTCTATTTCCCTTAATATAGCTTGATTCACTCAAGTATATCCAAGGAGATGAACTCAAGTGATTGAAGATCCTCCAATACCAACTGCTGAGTCACATATTTGGCAGAATTCAATGCCTCACCATATATCATTCTGCAAGGAGTTGATTTCATGGAAAAGTCACATTGCATGTATTAAAAGTGCTAGGCTTCTTAAGAACAATTCAAAGGGTAGACAATGTATGACTCTATGAATACATATCACTGTATTGGAACAAGAAGAAAAATAAGAAAACTAATGTTGTAATTTTTTTCTTTACCTCATGACCTTAATCTGTTTAGAAATGTAGTAGATTTTATAACATTTAATTATCAGAACGAAAACAAGATAAAAAGTCACATGGATTTTTCTACAATTTCAGGTTAGAAAAACCTATTATTTAGGCTTTTTTTAAATAAAGTAGAGGTATAAAGTAAATATCAAACTTCATTTTCAACTACTAAAGTCTACTACTTTAGACCTCTACTACTGTTAGATGTCTTTGAAAATGAGAAGAGGATCAAGTTATGCAGCTTCTGGTAAGAATCAGAATTAATCTGAAAACTCTGACTGTAATCTAATAAACTTCTTGTTTTCTTATAAAGCCTACAGGCTCATCAGCTGATTATATTTAAGTTAGAGTTACTGCTCTCTGTTAATAAAAGACCCCTTTCTCTCTTTCTAAGGAGTCCTGGTAGCATAGTACCTAAGGCATTTGACTGCTAACTGGAAGGTTAACAGTTCAAACCCACCAGCCACTCCATGGGATGAAGATGGGGCAATCTACTTCCATAAAGATTTATCACCTTGAAAACCTAATGAAGTTTGCTCTGAGTCAGAATTGACTCAATGGTAGTGAGTTTGGGTTGTTTGACTCAATGGTAGTGAGTTTGGGTTGTTTGTTTGTTTGGTTTTTGGTTTTCTGTCTTTCTAAAGGATAAAATACCCATAAATGTGACCAGCATTTCAATTATCAAAGTGTGCAGAGATGGAAATTTCATAAACTACCAGTGAGAATGATGAAGTTGGAAAAAAACTTTCACTTCATCAGTGGTTTTCATTCCTATTACTGTCAGTCTCCCATGACTAAATGTGGCTAAATGTGGTTCTGAGTTATTCCAAAGGAAGAACACACAACTGAGATTCAGAGGCAGGTTTGGTAGTCTTAGTGCGTGTACCTTGGCTTGCCCCAGAAGTACCACAGTTAGCTGCTAACTAAAAGGTGTCTCAGAAAAATAGTGCCTGGTAATCTGCTTCCAAACAATCAGCTATTGAAAAACCTGTGGAGCACAGTTCTACTCTGACATTCATGGGGTCACCATAAATCAGAATTAACTCAATGGCACCTGATTATAATGCTTAATCACCTGCCACATCTCTCTACTTTTCCCACACACAAGGCTTGCCTCTCACCATACCATTCAGATGACTCACAACAGGGTGAGAGGCTAAATATGGAGGCAGGTTTACTCTCCTCTTCAAGGTAAGATTGATCAGACAGGTAAACCAGGAAAGAGAGGTGGTAGTTTCAAGATGGAGAAAAAGTGGTCAACATTGAAGTCAAGTCAGAAGATATCATTATATTTGGTAGTTAAAAGGTCTGTAGTGATCCTGGTCAATGTAGTTTTAGAAACATGGTAGATTTCAAGGAGCTGAGATGTAAATGAAAGGTGAAGAAGTGGAAAGACTGGTGAGGCAGACAAAAGTTGACCAGGAAAGGAAAACATAAGAATGGGGTAGTAACCTGAAGGAAAAGCAAAGTTGAGGAATTTTTTAATGGGTTGGATTTAAACAATTTATAGCCTTAAGGAAGCAAGTAGCAGCAAGGGTAGACAATGTGTTTCAGGAACAGTGTTATCAGGTTCAATGAACATTCCAAACACCAAGAATGGCTGCATAATGGAAGCAGCTCTATGCTTTTGAAGTCCTTATCTAAGTTATAATTATGGACTAGGTATGTGATTTGCACAATAGAGTGTGTAGAGGAATCAGCCCTCCTGCTATAAACTAGATCAGATGGGCCAATGTACCTCAGTCATGTGGTAACTACCTAGGGGCCTGTGTCACAAGGTACTTATGAAATTTGTGGCCAGGGTCACTTCTCAAGAGTTCAGAGGTACAAACTACTATAAATGGGTATGTCACTCTTTCAGTAGATTCCAAATACCAATTTTATAAGAAAAAAGATCAATAACAGGGTGAAGGGGGGGTAAGAGTATACATAGGATTTGGGGGCTTATATTAGCACAGAGTTGCTAAATTAAAACAACATAAGTTTATTTTTCAATTGAATTGAAATGACTGACACCATGAAAAAGGAGGAAGAAAAAAAATGTCATGCTAGATCACAAAATCCTATAAATTAAAGTGTATATCTCTATCGGCCACAAATAAAAATGTAGCCTGAATATACAGTTTTCAATTATTCTAATTAATCTTATTCTCAGCATCCATTCAGAACTTAGATATTCACCATCTGCTAGATTAATCTGAATTTGCTGATATAACTAATGATGTATTATGTTTATTATACACATTTTTTCTCCCCAGCTATGTTACAGATTTTTATACATTCAAGAAAAATGCATTCAACAAATATTGATTGATCACCTTTTATATGCCAGGCCCTTTCACATGCACTTCAGGAAACATCATAAAAAAATAAGACTAAACAAAACAAAAACAAGCCCCAAAAGATCCCTGCCTCCGTGGTACTTCATACAGCGAGGGCTCAATACAGGAGTTAGCCACTTGATCTTGGAAATTTGAATCTGCAGCTCTCACTACCCTACTCCCCTTAATAAAATTTAAAAAATGAATGTTGAATATCCTACTCAACATTTTGAAAATATCAAAAAAGGAAATAAGTTTAAGGAAAACAGATTGCAAGTGGACTCAACTTCTTTATTTTGGTGCAATAATTTGGTAGCTACATTTTTTTCTTGCCCAGTCTCTCCCATCACCCCCTTTCATCTGAGATCAGAATATTCATAGACTGTGGTCAGTCCAAAGGGTGAGCATGTAACCCAGGAGTCTCTGGAATTTTGCATACTTGGGAAGAGAAAAGATACTTTCCCCCAAGGTCCATAAAGATATGAGCAGAGAATTCTAACTGAGGAAACATCGCATGGAGAAAGCTGATCTGAGAGAATAAAGTCAGCACAAAGTGAAGCCAAGAGGTGGCATTTAAGTCTCTGGTCCCATGGAGTTCCTAAAGTCAGTTCTCTACCAAGACCTACCTTCACATTAGGCTGCATCATTGTTGTATGCCACTGAGTTGATTCCAACTCATAGCAACCCTATGTTGTTGTTGTTATGTGCCATCGAGTCGAACCTGACTCATAGCAACCCCTCCATGGGTTTCCAAGGCAGTATCACTATGAGAGTAGATTGCCCAACCTTTCTTCTGAGGAGTGGCTGGTTAGCAGTCAAGCATCTTAGGCACTACACTACCAGAGCTCCTATAGCAAATCTATAGGACAGTAGAACAGCCCCCATACAATTTCCTAGGCTGAAATCATTAGGAAAGCAGATTTCCAGGTCTTCCCTTCTGAAGAGTGGTTGGTGGCTTTGAACTATCAATCTTTCAGTTAGCAGTTGAACCTTAACCACTGTGTCACCAGGGCTCCTCCATTAGGCTATATAAACCAACAAATTCCCTCTTTTTACTTAAGCTAGTTGATTGGGTTTCTTTCACTGGCAAGCCAAATGGTCTTGACCAATACTTGTTGTAAAAGTGGACTCTGAAAAGTTGTTCACAATTGGGAACATTGTCACTAGAGAGGCAGGTAGTGTAGACCTGGTTTAGAATCATGGCTCCACAATTCATTATGTGATTTCTCTGAGCCTCAGCTTCCTCTTTTAAAAGATGGATATAATAGTGCTTTGCTCCCAAAGTGGCTAAGAGGAGATACAGTACTTGGCACGTAGTAAGTTCTCAAAACTATGAAGATTTTATATTTCTTTGATAACTAACACTCATTACAATAAGACTTCCCAAGAAGTTCATTAGTATTCATAGATTGGGATTTTTGAAGCAAATACAAAAGAATTCATTAAGAAACAAAATGTTCCGATTTTAAATATAATATTCCTAGATTAAGTCCTCTGATATGCTAGTTTTGTATTGCCTAAGTATTTAAAGATATAAATTTCTCTCTTCAATTAATAAACAATGGGCATAGACATACCTTTCAACTTTTTCAGAGAGATTATCAGCAGAATCAGTAGATGGGATTTGGTATATGTCTGATAATGCCAGGCGCTGTCGGTACCCTTTCCACAAAATTGGTCTGGTCCAACTAAAATAAAGAGAGAAGAGGCAGAAATATTCACTTGGTTTGGTTCCCAATGTAGAGCTGGAGTCTAACACCACTTCAAATCTTCTGTTGTTTGTTGTCGTTATGTGCCATTGAGTCGGACCCGACTCATAGCGACTCCTCCATGGGTTTCCGAGGCAGTATCACTATGGAAGTAGATTGCCCATCCTTCCTTCCAAGGAGTGGCTGGTGGGTTTGAACTACCACCCTTCTGGTTTGCAGTCAAGTGCCTTAGGCACTACACTACCAGAGCTCCTTTCAAATCTTCTAGCATGTGGGAAATGGTGGACACACAAATATGAAAATAAAATAACTCAACTTATAACAAAACTTTGGAATGCAAAAGTTGGAAACAAAGAAGAATCACCAGTAATGGCCTTGGTGATAGAAATAATGCTGGACATGGCATGATAGAATTTTGCAAGACCAACAACTTATTCATTGCAAATACCTTTTTTCAACAACACAAATGGCAGCTATACATCTGGATTTCACCAGATGGAGTACTCAGGAATCAGACTGACTACATGTGTGGCAAGAGGCAATAAAGCTCAATATCTTCAGCCAAAACAAGGCCAGGACCTGACTGTGGAAAAGACCATCAACTGCTCATATGCAAGTTCAAGTTGAAGTTGAAGACAATTAAAACAAGTCCACGAGAGCCAAAATATGACTTTGGTTATATTCTTCCTGAATTTAGAGACCTTCTAAAGAATAGATTTGATGCATTGAACACCAATGACTGAAACCCAGAGGAACTGTGGGAAGGCATCAAGACCATCACTTTGAAGAAAGCAAAACATCATTAAAAAGACAGTAAAGGAAGAAAAGACCAAAATGGATATCAGAAGAGACTCCGAAACTTGCCCTTGAGCAGAGAGTAGCTAAAACAAATGGAAGAAATGACAAGACAAAAGAATGGAAGATTTCAAAGAGCAGCTCGAGAAGACAAAATCAATTTTATAATGAAATGCGCAAAGACCTGGAGTTAGAAAACTGAAGGGGAAGAACATGCTTGGCATTTCTCAAACTGAAAGAATTGAAGAAAAAATTTAAGCATCCAGTTGCGATATTGAAAGATTCTATGGGCAATATATTGAATGATGCAGGAAACATCCAAAGAAGGTGGAAAGAATACACAGAGTTATTGTACCAAAAAGAATTGGTTGATGTACATCCATTTCAGGTGGTGGTGTTTGATCAAGAACCAATGGTATTGAAAGAAGTCAAAGCTGCACTGAAAGAACTGGCAAAAAAACAAGGCTCCAGGAATTGACGGAATGCCCACTGAGGTGTTTCAACAAACGGATGCCACACTGAAGGCACTCATTTGGCTATGCCAAGAGATTTGGAAGACAGCTACCTGGCCAACTGACTGGAAGAGATCCATATATGTACCCATTCCAAAGAAAGGTGATCCCACAGAATGTGGAAATTACTGGACAATATAATTAATATCACATGCAAGTAAAATCTTACTGAAGATGATTCAAAAATGGTTGCAGCAATACATTGACAGAGAGCTTCCAGAACTGCAAGCTGGATTTAGAAGAGGATATAGAACCAGGGATATCATTGCTGACGTCAGATGGATCTTGGCCCAAAGCAAAGAATACCAGAAAGATGTTTACTTGTGTTTTATTGACTATGCTAAAGCATTCAATTATGTGGATCATAATAAATTATGGATAACATAATGGGAATTCCAGAACACTTGATTGTACTCATGAGGAGGCTGTACATAGATCAGGAGGCTGTCGTTCGAACAGAACAAGGAGATAGTGCATGGTTTAAAATCAATAAGGGAATGTATCAGGGTTGTATCGTTTCACCATACTTAAGCAATCTGTATGCTGAGCAAGTAATCCAAGAATCTGGACTATATGAAAAAGAATGTGCCATCAGGATTGGAGGTAGACTCATTAACAACCTGTGATATGCAGACCACACAACTTTGCTTGCTGAAAGTGAGAATGACTTGAAGGACTTACTGATGAAGATTGAAGACTACAGTTTGCAGTATTGATTACGTCTCAGTATAAAAAGAACAAAAATCCTCATAACTGGACCAATAAGCAGCATCATGATACATGGAGAAAAGATTGAAGTTGTCAAAGACATCATTATTACCTGGTTCTACAATCAACATCAATGGAAGCAGCCATCAAGATATCAGATAACCTATTGCTTTGGGCAAATCTGCTGCAAAGGACCTCTTTCAAGAGCTGAAGAGTAAAGATGTCTCCTTGAAGACTAAGGTGTGCCTAACCCAAGCCAGGGTATTTTCAGTCACCTCTTATGCATGTGAGAACTGGACAATGAATAAGGAAGACCAAAGAAGAGTTGATGCTTTTGAGTTGTGGTGCTGGTAAAGAATATTGAAAGTACCATGGACTGACTGCTAAAAGAACTAACATATCTGTCCTGGAAGAAGTGCACCCAGAATGCTCCTTGGAAGCAAGAATGGCCAGACTTTGTCTCACCTACTTCAGTCATGTTGTCAGAAGGGACCATTCCCTGGAGAAGGATATTATGCCTGGTAAAGTGGAGAGTCAATAAAAAAGGGAAAGGCCCTTGACAAGATGGATTGACACAGTGGCTGCAACAATGGGCTCAGGTATAGCAAGGATCGTGAGGCTGGCTTAGGACTGGGCAGTTTTGTTCTGTTGTACGCAGGGTCGCTATGAGTCAGAGATGATTCAAGGGCACCTAACAACAACATAACAAGACATGGACTTAATATATTACAGGACAAACATGTATGAAACACCAACATCTCTAAACTCTCTTTGTCAGAGAGATCAAGAGTGATGGTACAATCCCCAGAGCAAAGAAAAATATATGAAATACCTATATTAAGTTATACTTAAAAAATAATACCAACAAGTAACTACATACTAGTTTACAGCACACTGCTAAAGCCCAGTCACTTCAAATGTAAATAATCTGTGAATAATAAGAAGACAGATACTTAATCAAGACACTTTACACAATTTCATTAAGTGGTTACTGTAGCACGTGGTTCTCAGCAATGAGCTATTTGTTGAATCAATTGACTAAACTTGAAAGGTTAATGGGCAATTTGTAATAATGTGTTGATTTAATTATCATGTCTGAATCGGTTACTTGAAGGTGGGGGTCATAATTTTTTGTTTTGTCTCCTCCCCCATAACAGTTACACATAGTTGCCCTCTAGGCATCAGATATATAAAGATTTATGACAGAAATTAGTGAAAATTGTAATGAAAGTGACTAAACAGGCTACTTATTTATTTGTATTTGTTATTTACAAATACATTGCTTATAATTGTTACTGTAAAGGGACAATAATCTTCATAGAGGCAATAAAATCTAAAGTATAAGAAGGAGAAGGTGGAATTGTAAAACAAACAGAGAAAGTAAATACGTGCCAAGAGAAATTTCTAAATGAAGTTTGAGAGGATGAGACTCTTCCTAGGTGAAATGTCATGTATTTATTGAAAAAGGAAATTGAACCTGGAATTAGTGATTATCAAACCTATGCTTTTTCCCTTGGCAGCTCTCCTTTCTCCAGAGAGTTCTAAAAGTTTGTGTCATTAAGACATGTATCGAAATGCACGTTAAACCACCGAAAAATTAAAAGGGAGTATTTTACTTTATTTATTTATTTATTTTGCTATTACTGAATCTTTTATTTGTCTCTAAGAATTTCAGTGGCTGAACCAAGGCTCAATGAGCTGGCACAATCCCCAGCACCCAGAACCGCTCCTGGCCCATAGAATAAAGCTTGCTGAGAGGATGAGGAGCTGGCAGGCTGGCATTCTACCCTTGGTCGTGCCCATCTTCCAAAAGGCAAACAAGTGGATCTGTAGGGCAGGAGCTCACATTGTTGGTTAAAGGGGAAATAAGGGTGTAAAGCAAGAACCAGTTGAAACTACCTTCACCAGTCCAAAGGGGAGTATTTGAGTGGTCTGAGAGGCAGAAAACTCGTAACGTAAAAGTATTCTAACAAAGCCATTCAGAATAATAAGGAAATTCTATGCAAATACAATTATTTTGATATTGTTTTGAGGCAAAACTATGCTGGGTCCAGGAACTTAGTTATAGTTCCATGGTCTCCAGCTTCTCCAATAAGCCCCTGCCCTGTGTTTCTGATGTCTCCACAAATTGTCCTTCACTAAAACAACTGAAATTAGGACACAGCTACTAAGTAACTTCAATCATTTCTTGCTTAGATATCAATGACTGACTGTGGTTTAATATGTCACTTTTTTCAATTAACTTACAATTTTTTGTATTTTAATAAAATATTTTAAACTTTAACAAAAGGGTGATAATTGGATTTCATTTTAATTGCTCAGTCTGATCTATTGGAAATTTTCCCTGGAAAACAATAAAGAAAAGAAGTGACTCTGGTCTGAACACAGCAAGAATAGAAGGGACATAGTCACACAGTATGTACAGTGGCATCACCTGGGAGAGTCATGGGACTCTGGCCTGGCACTTACCATCCTGGTATCCAACATAAGGACTGAAAGGTAAGGTTGGAAACAGAGCAAGGGTTAGACTGTGAAAAGTCTGGAACATCAACTTAGGGTATAAACTGTGTCCTATTATATGAGCAGCCTTTTAAACATAAGCCAAGACATGGTAAGGTGATGCAAGTGTTACTGGTAATAAAAGTTTATGTGTACAGAGAGCTTTCACGAACATTAGCATAGTGTGATTTCTACTTGAAAATCATATTATGTAGGTATAAGAGAAAAGGATCACTGTCCAGTCCTAAGGATAAAGAAATTGAGCCCCCAAATTCAAAACCCATTGCCATCAAGTCACTTTGATTCATAATGCCCCTATAAGACAGAGTAGAACTCCCATAGGGTTTCCAAAGCTATAAATCTTACAGAAGCAGACTGCCACATCTTTCTCCCGCAGAAGAGCTAGTGGATTAGAACTGCTAGTCTTTCAGTTAGCAGCCAACTGTGACACCATTGTGACACCAGGGCTCCTAATGGAGCCTCAGAGAGGATAAATTT